GCCTTGCTGTTGTGGGTGGGTTTTGACTCACAGGTATCCTAGAGGGCAGAGAACGGTCCCACGGGCTTTCCTCATCTATAAGCTTTAGGGAAATGGAGGGCCACATCGTTCTCCCCAAACAGGTTCAAATCACCACCCCTTTCAGTTAGCAGAGGAGGCTTCATGTGTGGGTGGGTGAATGGGTGGGGAAAGGGGTTAAGAAAATTGCCATCAGGCTGATTCTGAGTCAACTTGAAGAGTAAACTGCTTGCTAGGATTTCCAGGCTGAAAATCTTTATGGGAGCAGATAGCCTCCTCTCTCTTCTGCGGAGCAGTTGGTGAGTTTGAACTGCTTACCTTGAGGTTAACAGCCTAACTCAGGTGACCAGTTCTGGCACCAGGATTCCTTTGCCTTACAACTCCAGGAAAAACCAGGAGCCTGTGGTCCTCCACACAATGAGAACAGTGGCAAAGCCACCAAACAAATCACTCAGAATCCACGCCTCTCAGTCCTGTCGCCCTGTACCACTAAGTGCCTACTGTCTGACCCTTCAGACGCAATTAAGGAGCCCTGGGGGCCCAGTCAACAGAGAGGTGAGCACCAGCCACTGCACAGAGAACGACAAAGCAGTTTGCTTCTAAGCTGATGTATACCCTCAAAAACCCTAGGCTCTGAGTTGGAATGAACTCGATGGCAATGGGTTTGGTATGCAGTATGTGACCCAGTTTCCTCATCTTTTAATGTGGGAGAAACAGCCCTTGACTGGCAGGTGTTAGGGGAAGCAGTGACATGGAATAAAACTACCTAGAGTTGGTTCCCATAAGCCAAGGGCAAATCCATAGTTGATTACTTTAGGAACCTTATATTTAAGGGTGCTTACCTGGGTCCAGGGAGAAAGATGGGGGTTCTACTCCCATAAGGAGTTAGGAGACTTAGAAAAATCACAGGGGCAGTTCTACTGAATGACAGTGAGTTTTGAAGGGCTTCCTTGGGGTAGTCAGATGCACAGTCTGGGGACAGTCACAGGACCAGGTGTCAGATCTTACTGCCAAGATGACTGTCCTTGCAAATGGGGTTAGGTGACAGTGTGCATCTGTCCACTGCTACCCCACAGATGCACCTGCCTAAGGAAAGGGATGCCAGTGAGGGTGCCACACAGCCCCAGGTGTGCAGATGAGGGAATGACCATGGTGGATAGGGCACTGCTATCTCAAGTCCCATCTGACTCAAGGAAACCTACAGAACAGAGCAGAACTGCTCCATGGGGTTTGCAAGGCTCTGTGGGTTCCAGCCCCTCCGGAGCAGCCAAGCTGATAATATAGCTGCTCCCTGCTCTTTCCTATGAAGGAGGCTCTCTACATCACAAAGATGGGAAATAAGAGAACTGGCAGGAAGCTGTTGATAGAGGACAAGTGAAATCTATCTCACACACACACACACACACACACACACACACACACACCCCAGCAGCTACCCCCTACCCCTCCACCTGCCCCGCCTGAACCTGCACTGGCCACTATAGTGGCTGCCATAGGCATAGGCAAGTTTGTGGTTCAAGGATCCGGCAAGGCACCCTTCTACCTCGCACCTCATCCAGGATGCTGTCTAGACCCAGGAGAAGCAGCTAGACTTCCCGGTTGTTGTTGTTGACAGGTGCCATCAGATTGGTTCTGACTCATAGTGACCCTGTCTAAGTACAACAGAACCAAACACTGCCCAGTCCTGTGCCATCCTCACAATGGTCCCTACGCTTGACTTCATGTTGGAACCACAGTGTCCATCCATCTCATGGATGGCTTCCTCTTTTTCACGGACCCATTTTACCAAACAAGATTCAGGATCTGGTTCCTCCTGATAACATGTCCCAAGTACTTGGAGACAGTCTTGCTATCTTTTCCTCTAAAGAGGAGCACATACTTCTTCCAGGGCAGACCTGTTTGTTCTTTTGCACTTCGTGACATTTCAATATTTGCCAACACCAGATTCAATAACTGATTCTTCTTCTTGTCTTCCTTATGCATATAAGGTGATTGAAAATACCATGTCTTAAAACTGATCTTAAAATGACAAGTGATGATTATTGTACAACTGTCTTTGACGTGATTGAACCATTCAATTGCATGGTAAGTGAATTATATGCTAATAAAACTGTTGTGGGGAAAAATACTATGGTTTGGGTCAGGTCCACTTTAGTCCTCAAAGTAACATCCTTGCTTTTCAGGTTTTGTGCAGCAGGTTTACCTAATGCAACTCATCTTTGGATCGCTTGACTGCTGCTTCCATGAGCATTGATTGTGAATTCAACCATGACAAAATCCTTGACAACGTCACACTTTTCTCCATTTACCTCTTGGTTCAGGTGTGAGGGTTTGGGTTTCCTTTACATGGAGTCAGTTTTAATCCATACTGAAGGCTTCAATGTTTTATCT